CGCTGGACGGCCGGGACACATCGCCCCGCCGCTCGTGTGCCAGCAGCGCACATGAGTATTTTTCTTGCTACCCTGAGCAGTCATGGCAGCAAGAAAAATAAAAGCAAAAGGTTGTCATAGCACAAGGTGGGGGGAAAAGAGGAGCTAACCCACTTGGCAGTCTGTACAAACACATGGTTGACTACGCGGGGTTCAGGGATGTCCGAATTAGCACTGTGCTCACCTTTGTGAAATGTATGTTGTTCTATAGCAGAGTAAGGACTTCTGATAAGCAGTGCTGTCTACAAAAAGCACCAAAAGATGCGTTTCGTTTGCTGAGATTCCTGAGTAACCATGTTTGATAATTTTAGAAGAAATCATGAGTTAAATCGAGCCAGCCATGATCACAGCTGCCAAGTTCTGGCAAAAAGATTACATAAACAAAATCTCAATTTTAGAATTTTTGGGGAGGGCATGAAAAGCAAAATGGTAAATATAAGCCAAGAACTAAGAAATCCTTTTGCTGTTGGAATATACCATCATCTTAAATTTTAATAATCTTCATACAGCATCCTATAGAACCACCATCTGTATCTTCTAATTTGTTTAAAAAGACTGTTCCATTCTAAATAAACCTTATGGTATGCATTTTCTTTCCCCAGTATGTGAAACTCTAATTCCATAGGAGTAAACTACAAACATCTAACATCTATATGACCTATTATTAGCAATAAAGTCTGGTCTAGACAATCAAGAGGACATAGTACTAAGCTAAATTTTGCCCTAGAAGTCTCCAAGTCAAGTGATTCATTTACCCTGCAGTATGATGAGGTTTGGTTATTACAAAAAATTCTGTTTAATTTTGGCCGCTATTTGAAAATGTGTTTTAAAAGTTTGAAATGTGTTTTAACTGTCCACAGAAGAATTATAGTATTTTGATGGAAAAGTTGAGCTCACTAGGGAAGGAAGATTGAGACTCACAGATTTAATGAGCTTCTCTGTTTTCTCCAAGTTCCATGTCACTAAAGGCATCTTTCTTTTTCTTCATTAAAGAAAAGTCATACCAGAATAGTCACCAAGCTCACTTATGACTGGATATCAGGATTATGTGAGTGATGACACAATTTCATTTCACTGCGGTGTGATGCAAATGGAAGATGAGATCTTTGGCCAGAATAAAACCAGAACATGGCTGCTGAGCAGAGCTTGAGGCTCACAGCATGTATTCAGCCAATACATATTCAAAAAAATTTTGCAACCCTTTTTGTAATTGCAGTATCTTGCTTCATGGTTCAGAGGTGGAGTTCCAGTAAAACAAGACATGACTGGAATTGTGAACCTGATATGCTTGTGTGGCTTCCATTAAACTCATAATGCAATGAAAATAATGCAGATCCTGACAAATTTACCCATTGTATTCTGGGTACTCTCTTGGAGATTCTTAGTAACTATTAAGTTTGGCTTCACAAGGCACAAAGCTACATTCTAGTGCTCTCCATAGGGCTGATATGTGTATGAGCTCCAGATTCAGTTGTAATGTGTTAAATACAAAAGTCAATGCTTGCAAGGTGCTTAGTTACACATATATGTGGAGCAATGCCTTTCACTACATTTTTGTTTAATTCCTGGAGTGCCACAGGTGTACTTGACAAAAAAATAAAGCAAAAGCATTTGATCTTTATAGGAATACAATGATGTCAAACCAGTAAAGTCAAGAAAACACTACAGTAGGAGCTTCCACTCACAGAACAAGAAGCATTTTCATTCTAGAATAATATTTAAGACACCTCTACCCCAAGACAGACATAAAAAATTATCTGAATTTAACAGCCCCATAATTACATTGGTTGACAAGGGTAAACTTTTCTAAAGCTAGTGATTGTAAAAAACAATGCTTTATTTAGGTTCAAACTGTAATACAAGTATGTTTTGAAACCCAAATAAACACATGGCACTTAAAAGAACTTTCAGACCCCTGTGAGAAGTTGTCCTTATGTACTGCCTGAGATGCTTGAAATGAGCATGACGAAGAAGCAAAAGCAAGTGCCAGAGAAATAGGGTAAAAAAGCATGAAAGTATGAGCACAGATTAGGATTAAAACCACAGCTCTGGAAGAAAGCAGGAGTGGATGAGTTTACAGATAGGCATTTGTCACAGCCTCATGGGAAACACAAACACATGCAGGTCCCTGCAAGCACTTAACTGGGTTCTTCACACTGAGAAGGGGAAATCCTGTATCTTAAACATTTCATAATTACCAACTCTTCACTTCTTAAAGATAGCCCAGGACAAGTATAAAATAGAAGTACATCCAAGAATCAGCCAAGACAGAGAAAACTTACATGATTCCTTGCAAGTAGTGAGGGCAGTTTAATGTTTTACTCAGAAGTATGTTGACTGTTTCCTGCTGTGACTTTTCAGGTCTTTTCATTCGCTCTTAACTCCTACTCCCATCAGCATGAGAACAATGCCCTGTCGTGTATTTCTTACTTCGTTTTCCATGCTCTGTTATGGTTACAAAGCAAGGGGGTGGAGCTTTGTTTCTCAGGGAATTTCAAGCAATTAATAGGGTTTGATTTTGTAAGAGACAAATAAACCACGTTTAACACAAGTGGTAATAGTTCCTCCTGCTGGCACGCACTGCACACATTCGTGGAGTGTTTCTGTTGAACATGCACACCAGCAATGTTTTGCTTTGGTGACTGTGGTGAACACCAGGACCCTGGCAACCCTTCCGTGTTTTTTAAGAGGTTCTTCAGTCAAGCAGCCAGAACCTGTAAACCTTCCCTGAGTTTGTGAAATCTCAGTCCTTGATCTGCTTCTACGCTGACAACAGATAATTCTTCAGCCAAACATTCAATTCCATATTGGTTGTTTTATTTTTTGTATTACTTGGGGTTTTTTTATTTTGATGTGTAAAGTTGGTTTTGTTCAGGAGCAGTAAGAATCTCTTTTGCTTTGTGTTTACTCTTACAAATCACTTACATTTACTGGTTTCTGTCTATTACCTTCTCTCTATTTTTATAACTCTGAAAAACTTTCAGGTAAATCTTGGAAAGAAAGAGTGTTTGAAGAACATATTGAATTGATAACCAACTTTACATTTAAAGTTACAATTAAAAAGAAGCTTAAATTGATTTTTAATAGGCACTTTTGCACAGAAATTTGCAAGAATTCTTTTGCAAGAATTCAAACAATCCTATCTCTAGGCAATCACTATCCCCAGGCACACATATGGCCCACGAGAAAATTATCATTCATTTCATGTTCAGTTTAAGCTGGACCAGTTAAGAAGTCTTTGGTTATTAAGTACTCACTCGATGTGGGATTCTCTAGTGTATTGCATTTTTCAGAATAGCATGGAGCCAATATCTATTCAATAGTTTTAGTGTATGTTTCCAAGAATACCTTTTAGATCCCAGTATTAGAAAGGTATTAGATACACTTTCAAGACTTGTTTTAGGACAACGCTCTTGCCCAGCCTCCACGTGAAAAGCACATTTTGCAGCAGCAAAGTCTGATCCTCTGGTTTGGCAGGAAAGAGTGGGAGAATAGTCTGGTGAAAGGGGCTTCAAGTAGCTGAGACTCATGGAAGCTGAAAGCTTTCTCTGGACGTAAGAAAATTACCTACGATTTATGTTTCTTATGAAACTGAGACACCAAGGTCATGCAAAAGGAGGAAGTTTAATGGTGATCTCACAGGCTGTTCATTTCATGATAAGCACTGAAGTGTCATATCACCATTTTAGATACTCTACTGAAAACTATTGTCTTTCTGTGAAAAAAAAAAAAGCAAAATGAAATAGAAACAGAGCCTTTTTATTAAAATAAAATGCAGAATAAAACTCATGTTTATATTTTTTGTTTTAGAAAACTTATTCTTAAAGAAAGGCATTGAATTTCTCATTTCAGAGAAAGTAGAACCATTTTTTTCAATATTCCTAGAACAGCTCCTCCCACACCCAGCTGACATTTTCAGGATAACTTTGTTTGCAAAATTATTTTTGCCTGATGAAAGTGCCTTTCTTATTTGTTTAATTCTTGTTAATATTAAAATTTAATTATTTACTTAATTATTTACAAGCATCGTAGTATTAAAATCAAAGTAGATAAGCGACACTTTTCATTCCAAAATGGTCAAGGTAGAATTTCCTTTTTAAAGAAGATTTCAAAAGAGTTTTTTTTTAAAGAAGATTTCATTAAAAAAAAATATTTTCAATTCATAGGACAGATCCCATATGTTGTATATTGGGGTCCTCACTACAAGAAAGAGAAGAAGTTACTGGAGAGAGTTCAGTGGAAGCCACAAGGATGATGAGAGGTCTGGAACATCTCTCTTGAGGAGAGACTGCAGGAGCTGGGCCTGTTTAGTCTGCAGATGAGAAAACTGGGAGGGATCTCATCAGTGCATATAAATATCTCAAAGGCAGGTGCCAGAGGATGCTGCCAGACCCTTTTTGGTGGTGCCCAGCTACAGGACGAGGAACAGTGGCCATAAACTAAAACCACAAGAAGTTCCAATTCAGCTTGAGGAAGACCTTTCCACGGAGAGTGGCAGAGCACTGAACAGGGTGCCCAGGGAGGTTCCAAACCCACCTAGACGAGTTCCTGTGTCACCTGTTCCAGGCGGCCCTGCCTTGGCTTGGGGGTTGGACTGGATGACCTCCACAGGGCCCTTCCAACCCTAATGATTCCGTGATTCTGTTACCTTCACTAACACATACCCTTGCTGAAAGAGCGGTCTGAATTTCAGTGGCGAAATCCGAGAAGGCGGAATTTTCTTGGCGTGCTTGCTGTTTTCCTACCGGTGCAGCGCACCGGGGGGCGAGATGTGCCCGTCTAGCCCTCGTAGGAGCGAGGAGCGGGGCACGAGGGGCACCCTGCGGCCCGGCCGCCCCGGTGTCCCTGCGCCCGGCGGCCGGCAGGTGCCGCTGGAGCCCGGCAGCCCGGCCGGGCCGGCCCCCGCCCAACGCGGCTCAGCCCGGCAGGCGGGCCCTTGTGGGCTTCTGGGGCCGGCCGGGCCGGGTCAGCCCAGCCCAGCCCAGCCCGGCCCGGCCCGGCCCGGCCCAGTTCAGCCCGTTTCCTCCTGAGGCCTACGGAAGGTAAGCGGTGTGGGGGCCGTGAGTGTCAGACTCCTCCTCCCCGCGCCGAGTGGCCCCCCGGGGCCGGGTTTCTCCGGCGTCACGGTGGGGGAAGGCGGGGGTCGAGGCGCGGCTTTGGGCCGCTGCGGGGCCTGTGCTGCCGCAGCCCGACGGCGCCGTCGCCCTCAGTTCAGGAAGCACACTGAGGTGCTTGAGCGTGTGCAGAGAAGGGCAGCGGAGCTGCTGAAGGGTCTAGGGTATAAGTCCTGCTAGGAGTGGCTGAGGGAGCTGGGGGCATTTAGCACGGAGAAAACGGTGCTCGGGGAGACCTTATTGCCCTCTGCAGCCGCCTGGAAGGAGGTTGATTAGTCTCTTCTCCCAGACGACTGATGGCGGGACAAGAGGACTAGCCTACAGCAGTGCCAGAGGAGGACGTTATT